TATTCTATTCTATTCTATTCCATTCCATTCCATTCCATTCCATTCCATTCTTGGAATCCACATAGCCTCATAGCTGCGCATCCATCTTTTTCAGTCTTTTATTGGATAAGATTGATGAAAGAACATTGGGAAGATGTTAATTGTTAATGGTGTGGTTTTTAATGATTATTGTTTTTCTAAATTATAAGTCAACATTGGTGTTCCAAGTCTCTGTGGCCTTAATATATTCATTCTGTTCTGTAAAACTACCCCATATAGTTTTCCTAGACACAGTTCTTAAGGCTCTCAGTCCCAAAATCATAAAGGGTATCCCAGGACCAAAAACTGTTGGCTCCCTGTATTAGGTCCTCAAGCCATTTAATTTATTTTCAAGAAAAGCTACACATTTAAAAATGAGAAGAGGCTCTTCCATTTAAGTATGCCTGTCAATCAGGACAAAACTTGCACTCAACCTACCTGATATATGGGCCAAACAATGGCATTCCAATCCCCATTTCCTGGCAAACTAGGTGTCAACATCTGTTCATATTGTCTGACAAGTTAGTCCTTCCAGGTGGAAGCCAAGCTCATAATCACTCGCATGTATCACCCTCCCTTACACTATCAATAATTCTCTTCATCTCACCCCAAAAGGACCAATTCTATGCATTCTAATAGATGTTCCCTTCCTTCTACTTATAAGTAAGGGAGTGCAGACTTTGATTTTCTGATTTTCATTTAGCATTATATTTAATGATCTTGATGTAGTGTTAACAAGTCAACTGAAGCAAAAGGGAGTATTACAGATTTCTGATAAAAATTAAAGAAAAAGATTGATCATCGATGACAGCATTCTTCTCTATCTCTATCTCTCTGTCTCTGTCTCTCTCTGCTTTTGTCTCTCTCTGTGTGTTTGTGTATATACTGTGTGTATACACCCGCCCCACAATGTTGAACTGCTATTGCCTTTTTTGTAGGGAAAAATGATACTGTACAGTGTTTTTGCTGTAATGGGTGGTTGAAAAACTGGGAAGAAACTGATGATCCTTGGCAAGAACATGTGAAATTTTACCCTCAGTAAGTGAAGATTGTACTGAATTATCTGATTACAATATAATTTATAAAAATGGTATAACTTTGTTTATAAGTTACAAATACTTGCCACTCTTGTAGAAATGAATAAAATAATAAATAATAAAAAATAAATATTTGGATAAATACGTATGTTTTACCATAGTTGGTTGATTTAATTACTCTCTAAATTGTACTGAGGGGGGGGGGGCCTCCTAGGGAGTTTGTTCCAACCTCAGTAAAACATTTTCCAAACTGTGGGTCCATTATGTTAAAAAAATGAATTCAATATAGAAGTCAAACAAAACATGGCAAGATAAGCAGGATTTTTTCCAGTCTTCCACTGAAAAAAGTTAGAAGGACTGTACATGAATAAGTTGTCCTATGGATAGCTTTGTGAGTTCCTTAACTTCAATGCTAAGAACTGGCAACCAGGGAATCTGTCTCAGCGGGGGAATAATATTCAAACTCTCCAGAATATGGCAATATGATGGTGAGAAGCACCACTCACCCATATTGTCACTTTTGGGCTAACTTTAATTTTCTAATTATATTAAAGAATTGCTTCATGACCAGATTGTAATGATCCTGTCTTAAAGTTTTGGTGCACTAATCATTCTTTCCTCCAAATAGTATAGAAGTCTCTCTTTTTATCAAACAGCCGGCCATCAAATGTGGATATCTGGTTGGATTCAGCAAGTGTCTTAAACTATAAATGCTACTCTAAAGAAGAATGCCCTCCCAGAGCAGATGTATTTTCTTAATCTTAAAATTAGCAACAGTACTATTTAATTTGCATTCAACTTCAGTTTATTTTCTCCTACACCTAGTCCCTAACATCTGGAGATATACAGAAGCCTTGTAAACTTCCTACTTGGAGTTTGCAGAAAAGAAGTATAGGTGCTTGTCATATGTATCCAATTATTATTATGAGTCGTGGTGGCACAATGCTTAGAGTGCAATACTACAGGCTACTTCTGCTGACTGGTGATTGCCAGCAGTTCAGCAGTTCAAATCTCACTGGCTCAAGGTTGACTCAGCCTTCCATCCTTCTTATATTAAAATGAGGATCCAGCTTGTTGGAGGCAATATGCTGACTCTGTAAACCACTTAGGGCTGTAAAGTACTGTGAAGTAGTATATGTCTAAGTGCTAGTGCTATTATTTCTATCATCTTAATTAGCAAAACATGCAGACTGCTAGGATTGGTGATGATTATAGTTCAGCCATCACAAGTGGTTCTAGCTTGGAGCAGACCACATAGTCTATTGATGGATCCTAGGCTGTGGTATAGGTATAGAGGTATAGTTTTATCTGTTTGAAAAAAAGAATGCAACTTAAGGCAAACAGACTGGTTGGTGCCAGCTAGAACATACAGATAAAATAGCAAGATTCAATCATTCAATGGTACACTCTCTAAGTGCGTTAACAAATACTAGTGCTATCTCATACAGTTCATTTTGTTCATCTCAGTTAACACAGCTATTCTTTAAAAATGCATTCCAGCTGTAAGCTATCAAATCCAGAAAGACGGATATCATTGGAAAATAGCAAAATGCAACCAGAGGCCAAGTCACAGCATGAAAAGGTAAAACAGGGTAGGATTTGCTAGATTAAGTTTTTCATAATAGAACTTAATTTCCATTTGTATAAGTGGAAGTGTCAGAGGAATAAAACAAGAATTGTTACTGCTTTTGTGTAATATTCTAAGAAATTGTCCCTGGTGTGTACATATTTTAGATTTTGGTCAGAAATTCAGGGTGCCACTATAGACCCACACAAGAGTGAGCTTCACTGAATAGCAGGTGATTGCTTTTAAAAAGGATAATAGAATGTCAGAAAATAAAAGAAGGATACTACATTTCTTATTTAGCTAGTATAATTAGCTTACATCTTATATAGTACAATACCTCCTTTACATATTNCATGCATTTCAGGTAAGACCAACTGACATTCACTTTCAATGTTACATGGCTAAAAATGAATGTGAAACTTTTATATACTGGACGTACTATTTTGGAATGAAGAACAGAGGTTTGAAAATTAACATAACCTATTTTATGCAGGGCTTACACTAGTGTCTGCACCACATCTGGCTCGATCATACCATCACCTATTTCCTTTGGATGCCTTTGAGGAAGTTCCAGTGGAACAGTATATGGGGGAAAAGTATGTAAAAAATACTTAGGGTTGTCAATCCAAAATTCCAGCAATTTGTTTTTCAGCTAACTGGTATATCCTTTCATGTTTCTAGTTAAGTGTTTGACTAGCCCATAGTCTAAAATACCACATATTCATTACTAAGTAAATATTTCCAAATTATTATTTTTTAGTTTATGAAAAGATTTCTTTTGATTCTTCATTTATTACTTACTGTTTCTAGAGTAATTTAAGGTTTGAGGCAGAATTCCAACTTTTTGGTACACAAAGGAGGGCCTTTTTCTACCTTCATCTCAGGCAAATGAATACTATTCCTTGGACAGTGTGAATCCCTAAAGAAAACTGTGTTAAAGGTTTATTTATGGAAACCATTGTATTCTATTTGTTTATTTTAAATAAAGGGATTATATGGCATTTACAGTGCCACCACCAATGTTCTTCTAATTCTGGTAATAAATTGGAACAAAAAGATTAATACACATTTCCTAATAGAACTTTGCAAATATTTTTAAACAGGTATTGTCAGGGATGTCAGGGAGAAATCAGAGATCATCATGTAAGTATTCATTTAATTTAAATTGTAAACAATTTCATATTTTATGTCCATGAAAATAAGTTTTAGAAACATTTTCATATACATATTACATTAGATTCTGGGCCTTGAAAATAATTATTTTCGGTCTTGACTTCAGAATATGCCAGCTTTCATTGCAGTGTAATAAAATTATTGCTTATATTAATAAGGTATTATCATTTGCTTAGCAAAATTTTAAAAAGTATATGAGGACATTACTATCTTATTAACAATGTGATGATGTGCCAAGATGTAACTTTTAACTTTCATTTTCCCTCCTCAGGTCTACATTTGTAAAGTATGTCATAGTGCATTTTGTGTTGAATGTGATCTTTTTGCTCATGATACCTTGCACTGCTGTCCAGGTTGCATTCACAGCCATCCTGGTCCTCCCTGAATTTGATGCCTCTGATTAAATATTACTTCTTGTACATTATTCTGAGCAGAGAATCCTCACCAGTTATTGAACATCGTCAATAAATTAAGTTAAAGAGAAAGATAAGGAAGGTGACTCAGCTGGAGGCATATCTAAATATGAATTTGCACACCCATTCTATGATGTATTTAATGGAGACATAATTCTATGTGTTACATGTATTTGTGTTTGCTAATGTTCTTTTGTAATAATATGGAATAATGTGCCAAATATATCCTGAAAGTATTAAACTGGATGTGTGCACTTAAAATATGAATCTTATTTATATACTGCTTTTTTAAAATTATAAAATCTGACAATTGGAAATACTTAATGGCATTTATTTTTATGTAACTGTGTATTATGTTTATGGGGTGCGGTGGCTCAGTGGCTAAGATGCTGAGCTTGCCGATCACAAGGTTGACAGTTCAGCAGTTCGAATCCCTAGCGCCGCATAACGGAGTGAGCTGCCGTTACTTGGTCTGCCTTCTACCAACCTAGCAGTTTGAAAGCACATTAAAAAATGGAAGTAGAACAATAGGGACCACTTCAATGGGAAGGTAACAGTGCTCTGTGCGCCTTTGGCGTTTAGTCATGACCATGAAGACATCTTCGGTTAGCGCTGGCTCCTCGGCTTAGAAATGGAAATGAGCACCACCCCTAGAGCTGGAAATGACTAGCACGCATGTGCAGGGGAACATTTACCTTTATATTATGTCTGGATTTACAGAACATGAAGCTTCTTTTCTGTGATAGCCCGCTTTGTATCTTAGCTTCCTTTGTTCCATTAAGTATAGGGAAAAGTTGAGATTGATTCCAGATAATTAGTGTGCTTCCATGTCAATAATTTTAAAGTACTATGTATTTTACTATGACATTGTTTACAATTTAAAGATGAAAAGTTACAAATGTCCAACTCTTCTTTAGCTTCTAAGCAGAAGAGAAAGCTACCCTCTATAAGCGTAAGATATATTTAAAGTGATTTTACTATGCAGAATCTTTTATTAGAGATGTGATTGTAATTAGTGAGACTGGGAATATAATTTTAAAAATTACTCCTAAATCTGTTAACAAGTTCTGCTATTGAGTAAAGGTTGACTCTCCAATGACATCCAAAGCAACTCATGATGATACTAAAATGACAGACGTGATTATGTAATTATTATGTATAATGTGAACTCAAGGTGAATGTACTTAATAATCCTGCCTCTTTATTTTCTCTACAATAACCCTGTTGGGCTGAGAGAAAGTTACTGGCCCTAAAGCAGGTCTAGAACTCATAGTCGTCTAGGTTCTAAGGCAGCACCTTAATCACTACACCAAACCTGTCTCTCATGAAAATTATGTATTTATATATTTACATCA